CTCAGCTTGTAAAGAGGAGACTGTAGTTTTATAGGTGTGGGATGTTTGCAGCTCTTGTTCCCTTCTCTGAGTCAAAGGATGCTATTACAATAGGTCCTATAGCTGCAGGTGTCACAAAGCCCTCCCTCCATGTGAACTTCCCCCTGGCTCAATCAGCCTCTAAACCAATTCTCCTTTGGGTCAGGTTAGAGGAATGGAAACCTCCAGAAAATCTGAACCGCACATCATCTATAGTAGTCATCAGGTTCATGGTGATACTACCAAGTCCCATTTTCATTCCTCTTTGGAAAGGCAGTTATTGATGTTACAGATAGCCTCTGGTGTTGGGAATATATGGCAATTTTGTCATCCTAACACCAGAACCCCCCAAGATATCATGGAGGTAAAGTAGGTCAGAGTTCACTCTGTGACTTGTTTTGTGGAGTTAGACGCAAATGCCCTGGATCTAAGTGGACGATACAGGGGAATATGGAATACCTAAGGATTAAGTGTGGCCATGCATGCAATGCAACAGGTTACTTAATGGGGACTTCAGGGGAAGTACGGCAACATTCAGGTCTTTCTGTGGTGTGACCCTGACTGTTGTCACAGCCGTCTGTACATTGTCCAAACTTTCTGCTTTGCAAGCTAGTCTGTCTCCCTCCAGTGGAGTGCTTTTTCAGCTCAAGTCAACTCTGTTGCTTGCAACCACTGATCCTAACTAGTCCTGCCTTTCTGTGTTTTGTTCAATGGTTGCAGGAGGGTTTGAAAACTGAGCTATAGTCATGGGCATCTGACTGAAGGGAAGTGAGAGCTGGAGAATTTCATGAGCATAGCTTGGAGGTTACCTCTCTAGCTATTGACAGAGCAAAGCAGGGAGTCACTCAAAGCCAGCAGGAGGAGGTGGTGGCATATGTCAGATCACCCATGTGACTTTGCTATAGCCTCCCCCTATACCCCCAGCTTCGAAGCAGGTACTGACAGGCATCCTGTGGATTTATTTTCCCATCTTTGCCCCCCCTCTCTTTCTGACTCTGATTTCGAGCCAAAAGTCAGGCCCCACAGCTGGATGAAATAAAATGACTGTATTGGGAGGCCTTTAAATGAGCATGGTCCAATATGTCTTAAAGTTGGGGCCGTTCCCTGGGTAGAAAATGGGGGTTTTCCCACCTTCTCTGTTGCAGCTGCTGGGGATAAAGTTAGGGGCTGTCTGCTCCTTGGACTCACCACCCCAGCATTAACTCCCCCATCTCTTGGAAATCCATTCAATATTACACTCACCATGAACCACAGTGAAAGGCAACCAGACTCCGTCAACAGCACATTATCATGTGGCTTCCATTTTTCTTGATCACCTTATTCCTTTGCTCTCCCAAAGTTGAGGATAAATTATTTAACAAGTCTCCCGGGGTTGAACTTATGAGAACTTAAAGCCTGTGCCCATCTGCTATAGGTTAGGGTGGGCCAAATACTGAAAGCTAATCCTTCATGTTCCACTCTGGAAAACACCCAACCCAGCATGCGCACACACACACATACACACACACTCTCGTGTGTGTGCACACGTGAGCAATCCCCAAATCCAAACAACCTCTAATAGCACCTCCCAAACACATGGCCCAAGTGCTAAAACATCAAGGCCTGAGTCACCACACTTGGGCCAATAAAAACTTTACTCTGCCCTCTGAGAGGTTAGGCTGTGTTCTCAGTCTCCCCATATGCCTGCCTCTGTGAGGGAAGCACTGTCAAGGCTTCCAGGCAAGGGACTGGGTTTCACAGAAACAGCCACACCGTCAGAGGCATCTGTGCCTTCCCGAGACTTTTATTAAATGCATGGAATACTACAGACAGAGGGAAGGTGTACGCTCTCCACACCTCATCATATTGTATAATTTTAAAAGTTCTCGATTTCCACACGTTTCATTTCCTCTAATGGGCAACTAATGGAATCCTTTCCAATCTTTTACAACAAAAATGGCTTGTAATCTGACTCTGCCACACTCTTAGCAGGTGAGCTTTCTGAGCTGGGGCTCAGTTTCTTTAGCTGTAAAATGGGGATTCAAAATAGCAAGTATCTTGTAATATTCATGTGACAACAAAATAAAAGATTGAATGAAGTCCTAGTTCATCATCGATCATATGATGAATGCCATTCTTTTCTAGGGAAACAGCAGCAATGATTGTTGGTATTTTACTATGATTCATCCTAAATAGATTTTATTTTACACAGAAGTTTGTCAACAAAAAAGTATGAATGAGTAATGCATTTGGCCCCCTGTCTTTTAATACTTAGAAGTGCTAATATTATTCCATCAAAACTTCCCACCAAAGAGAGGAAGAGGAACTCATTTCCTCTCTAATCTCAGAGTCCTCTCACTGTGGTTAGCTGGTAACTTGGAATTAAAAACTAAAAGTAAAAACTAACATTATAATCTATTGGATTAGATATAGTCTTTTTTGATTAAAAATATAGATGATTAAGTGAAGTATTCCTTGATCTGCTAATAGACGATATAGATTCAATAAACTATAATCTTAGATTAAATACTTTGGTATAACAAGTTCTAAGAGCCTCAATTTCTTCATATGTCATATAGCAGGAATAATAAAAACCCAGAGACAGATACTGGGGTTCAAAGTGAAAATCAGATAAGCAAAGCAGCCAGCCACCAGAGTTCTCACCTCTACCAATGCTCAGATCGAAAGGGAGATCCACCAAACCTCAGACTGCTCCCTACTGCACTGTTGCTCAGATTCACTGAGACTGCCACGCTCTTCACCAAAATCCTCAATATGGCTGTAGACTGTTTCCTAGGTCTGAGACTCTGCTTCTGTCTTATATACCTCTGTAGTGCTGGGACTAAAGGCATGAGCTCTGTTTCTTTTTTAGACTCATTCACTCTCACATAGCCCTGGATGGCCATGAACTCTTAGAGATTCATCAGCCTCTGTCTCCTGAGTCCTGGGATTAAACATGTGTGCTACCACTGCCCAGCTTCTATGGTTATGGTTAGTTTTGCATTCTGATCTTCAGTGACTTTATTAGATCATAAACAATATATCACCACAATGTCAGACAGGGATATTGTCTTTGTAATGACAGTGTTATGATAATTGAATGAGACAATGGACAGAACTCATCTTAATTTTTTTAAATAAAGGAGTTATTCATTTCTTTAAAAAAAACCTCCCCACCGGTGTTTCTATCTTCAGTCAAAAGTAGAGCAATCTTGCTGTCAGTGAGTTATAAACAGTCAAACTGTTAAAATATCTTTTGGTGCAATGATTTATATAGAATTGGCCTGATATGTTTTTCCCCCATTTCTCAGAAGAAAAAAAAAAAAACAGATGTTCAGAAAGAGGAAAGCTTTGAGTTATAAAGCGGAACCAAGAACCAGGGTCTCCAACCCGAAAATCTTCTTCAGTCTACTTGGTCCCGGATCCAACTAGGAACTTGGGGCCTGCTCTCTGACTCTTAGACTGTATGTCATACTGAGCTGTTCTGAATTGGGAAACCAACAACTCTTACCCTCCCCACCTTTTAGGGACCTGTTATGCCCCCTCAGTCCCCACCCATAGCTTCTAAAGACCATTTTTTTGTAGGTTGGGGATCAACCCATGTCTACGGGGCTGGCAGTGATAACCAACTTAGGTTGGGCCAGTCGGGATAGCTTTGTAGGACTATGGAATGAAGGGGAGATAGCCAGTCTTGGGTAGGCACTGTTGGTGGTTACATTTGCAGTGGTAGCATCCCGGGAAATGAGGAGTCACACAAGGCTGAGAAGGAGCTGAGAGCAGGGGCAGACAGAGTCTCTTAGATTCTAGGTAATTCTGAAGCCCACAGGACCTTTGCTCCCTGGCTTAGTAAAAGTGCTGTGAAATAATCCTTCCTGGGTTTAAGTAAGTGGCTCATTCTAGGCAGCTACACTACAGGATAAAGGAACACTCCATTGTCCACTAGAAAGAACTCCATCCTATGGCGATGTCTTTTCTGGTCACCAGTGATGGCTCTTCTGTTGCTTCAGATGTCTCGAAGGCAGGACATGACCTGTCTTTCTCTGAAGTTAGCAAGCATATAATTGCCTGATCCCTGCTACTCTGGTATTCCCTTTGCAAACTGTCTAAGGATTAATGCCACTGCTTAACAGCCATTGTTTCTTTTCTTTCCACTCTGTCCACCACTGCTCTGAAGGCAGCTTGAACTCCAGTCAAGCCTTGCTTTGCACTTTCCTCCCAGTAGAATACACTTGCTTCTGCTCGGCTGCTATGGTTCTGGTACATGAGCAGCTTTTGGGCACCAAACCTGCTCCAGGACACAAGCTGAGTGACAGTAAGTGGCAGGGCATCACACAGCACCCACAGCATGCCCCTTGCTAATGGTGTGCAGAAGTCCAGACTGGTGACTCCCCCTCCTTGTAGAAGCTTGCTCAGAGCACAGGGAATGCACCAACATATGTCAATACTAAGCTGGGTGGTTAAGTATAAATATTAATTAAACCCATAAACAAAAAAACATTAAAAAGAGTTATTTCAGAGGCATTTATCAAGTCAGCTGTGTAACATGGGGAGCACACACCTTTGTAGCCCCAGAATACATTTATCGATGCAGGAGCGAAGGAAGTTTGTTGAAAGCTGTGGAGACTATTTGAACTTTGACTCATACTATCTGTGTGCTGTATAGTAATACACAAAATAAGTGAAATTGTTTGACACTATGGTGATACTGTCACAGACATGGAAGTTTTTAATGGAAACAGTAGCCATGGAAGATAGAAGCAAATCTGCTTTCCATTCATCCCGTTTCCACGGTATTGTGCCAATGGAGGTTAGTATACCATGTCATGTGTTCTTCATGATAACATTCTAAGTGAGGGGCTGTCTCTCTTAACTCTTTGAGACAGAGTCTTAAGACAGACAGTAGCCCAATCTGGGTTTCAGTGCTCTAGGTCTTAGGTTTCTATGAAGAGACTCCATGACCCAGCAACTCTTATAAAGAAAACTGATTGTGGTGGCTCACTTACAGCTCAGAGGTTCAGTCCATCATGGTGGGGAGCATCGCACTGTGTAGGCAGACATGGTGGTGCTGGCTGGAGCTGAGGGTGGTGCTGGCTGGAGCTGAGGATGGTGCTGGCTGGAGCTGAGGGTGGTGCTGGCTGGAGCTGAGGGTGCTACGTTTTGCAGGCAACAGGAAGTCAACTGACTGTCACACCGAGTGAAGCTGGAGAAGACCACCTCAAAGCCCGCCCCCACAGTGACATGCTTCCAACAGAAGGTGTGGCCCATATTAAAAGTGTGCCCTCCAGCCTCAAGGTCTGGATTAAAGGCATGTGTCACCCAGCCTCCTCCAACACCTCCTGAAAGTAAACTCCCTATGAGTCTATGGGGGGCAAATGCATTCAAACTACCACAGTAACTTAGGATGACCTCAGACTTCTAATTCTCCCAGATGCTGGAATTGTGTGCCACCATGCCTACACGGGCTGTGCCTTTTCATTCATTGCTTTTGTCTCCTTTCTGGCCCAATAGTCATATGACTACGCACACGTGAGAATACATGTGGAAATCAGAGGTCCATATTGGGCATCTTTCTCATCACTCTCCACCTAAGTTTTTAAGACAGGGCTTTTCGCTAAACTTAGAACTCACCAGTTCAGAAAAACTAGCTAGCACAGCGAGCTCCAGGGACCCTTTTGTCTAGGATTGCAGCCATGTGCCACCACACCCTGGACTCTTACGTGGGTCCTGAGAATCCATGTTCCAGGCTTCCTCAGAGTCGCCAGCAACCACAAGTGAGATATAGGTAACACGGAAAGCCCCAAACCCTTGGCTTCACTTCTACCTCCATGCTATTGTGTGTAGCTTAGCCTCTACCTACACGCTATTATGAGTACCTTAGCCTCTTACATGCTATTATGAGTACCTTAGCCTCTACCTACACGCTATTGCGAGTAGCTTTGCCTCGACTTCTCTTCTCTGCCTCTGACACATGTACACACATACTTCTGCTGGAGAAGGCTCTGGGGCTGTTCTCAGGAATGTCTTCTGGGAAAATAGCGATGGCAGCTGCCAGTCATCCCAAATCTTCTAGCCAGCCCTGAGGACCTCAGTAGAGGTGGCTGGGTTATGTGATAAGCCCAGGAAGGTGGCTGCAGAGTCAATGACCTGGACTGCTCTGAAAGCTGTCCCCAGGTGTCCCGAGTCTCACAATGAATCTCCTTCCTAAAAAGTGCTTGTTCCTGCTCTCCCTCCCTCCCTCTGCCAAACATCTGAGAAAGGGAGGAAGCCTGAGTGGGCGCAGAGACTCCCACACATGTTCAGGTAGCAGAGCACCTGGAACATGACATTCTTTTCCACCATGCATTTAGTTTAAAATACCTAAGTACTTGATGAAATGAGTAGATCTTGAGTCCTCATCCTGACAAGTGTTAGAAAATAGAGAGGTTAAGCACAGGAACCATAAATACACTCAAACCCTTACAGCTGGAAAGATTCAAGTCACTAACACGTGTGTGTGTGTGTGTGTGTGTATGTGTGTGTGTGTGTGTAAGGGGGGAGAGAGAGACAGACAGAGAGACAGAAACAGAGGCAGAGACAGAGACAGAGAGTAGTATCTTGACCCAGCTAGATCAACTACAAAGTGGCTGAGCCTCAGAGCCTCGCAGGTAATTCAGTGAATTCTCTTAGTGTGACATCACTTCTCTGAACCCTCCCACCCCCACCCTAATTGTGACACAAAGGGATTAGACTCAGAGTTCTAGGGGTCTTCATCTAGTTTCACCCCTTGGAGACATCTAAAGTTGGCAGGCCTGGATTTAGAAAGCAGTGGGATAAAAGAACATGCTTCAGGGAGAAAAATGCCAAGAAAAGAAGTTTATTAGGTGGGAATAAGTTTACAATACAGCCCAGGACCTCGCTGTGGTCTGTATCTACAAGGGTGGTACTGTAATTAGGAGACATTTTAAAGGGAATGCTCCCAGCCAGGAATAATATAATTCTAGTCTTTTCTCCAAGCTTCTTGGTGCCTATGCACTTGAACTTATTAAGCCCCATAGACTCCGAGAATGAGGTATAAATATCATTGTGTCCCTCAGGCAATAAAAGGAGCTGTGGCCACAGACAGTGCTACCTCTGGACTCCAGAGTTACCCACCAGCTTAGGGGTCCTTCAGGGGTGGTCTCTGCTTCCCTGGTGGTCTGCAGCAGGCTTCCAGGGGGCCCTGGATTGGCCGCCTGGAGGAGTCAGACTTCATCAATAGCACTGACTCTGCTTGTGTTCCAGCAGGGATTCATAATTTACCCATGCTCTGTGCCGTTTGATAGTTTGCCAGAGTTTTTCCAATGTCATTCTTCTTGTCTCTATGATGTTGTCAATGCCTCCACCCTGCTGCTCATTTTTATGATACTAACTCATTGAAGGTGTTGGATAGCCTGAAGTTTCTCTGGCTCTGACCAGGTAGCCTTTGATTCCAAATTATCTGGTTCCCTGGTTCATTCTGGTTTTTTGCTGACATGATACCCTGTGAATACCATGTTTAAGGCTGTTGCCAAACATGCCTTTATTCAAGGTGTTAGTGGAGAAGTCATCCCCTTAGCATTAAGTCATTTCTGTCATCCAATAGGAAGCGTTGGTTGTTAAGATAACTTCCAGACAGTGCCTCTTGCTTGCCTAGGAAAAGACTCAAAGAAGTTCATGTGAAATAGAGACATTATTTGTAGGTCAGCGTTTGCTATTCAACATCAAGGCCTCAGTTCAGTGAGAAGGAAAGAGAATATTCTAGGCCTACCCAAACAGTTTATTAATGTGCATGGTCATTTTGTTGTTGGCTATTATTTCAAAGGCTCTTGAATATACATATATACATATGTATATATACACAGTCATATTTTTAAAATAGTAACTGTTTGCAAAATTTTATACTTTAAATCGGAGCTTTTATCTCTTAGCTCAATTTTTCAATGAACTAATAGTCTATCACAACAACGGGGGATCCATGAAACATTTTTACACTTTTTTCTTTTGGCTTATTTGTTTGACAATAAAATTTCACATCTGGCTGACAAGCCCCATGCCAAGATTCATCTCGATGCAACTTCAAATGAAAGAGCCATTATGTTCAAGCAAGCAAGAAACTCCAGGCACTCTACCAGGACGACTTGTTAGCCTTTATATACAACCGCTGCTAAAGTGACATCATGGCTATGCTGAGCAACTGGGGACCTCGGAGTCCTGCTGAAGAGCAGCTTTCTAGAAGAGGATTGCTGCAAATCCACTCTTCATGCTTAAGATAATCATGTCTCCTAGTCTGTTGGTTAATATGGTCAATTGACAACATCTAGAAATACCACAAGGCTGTGAACATATTGTGTGTGTATGCAGTTCTACACTGGGTTAATTGAGATGGAAGGACTCACCATGACTATGGGTGACACCATTCCATGGGCTGGGGTCCCAGACTGAACAAAAGGGAGGAAGCAAGTTGGGCACTGGCATTCACGTCTCTCTGCTTCTGGGCTGCAGAGACATTGCAACCAGCTGCCTCAGGCTCCTCTCTCCATCTCTTTCCTGTCACGAGGACCTTTAAAACCTTCAAACCGTGAGTGCAATTAAACCTTTCCTTCTCTGAATTGCTTTCGTTAGGTATTTTAACGCAGCACGTAAGAAACGCAATTGATACATAGGCGCAAGGCTCGCAAAGGAAACCACAAAGACTAGAAAAATAGGGCCTGCCCTTTTGTACCTATGTTTGACCAGCACCATCACCGCCGTGCAGACGCTTTGTGCCAGTAAGTGTTCCCCAAAGCCTGGATGTGAGGATAAAGTTAGCAGTGGCTCAGTTCCTCAAATGTGTCTTCCTTAAGAGGAACCCTGCCCCGACCCCTGGTTAATTATTTTCTGCTTCTCTTCTCTTTGTACACCAACGGTACTTGGTTCAAAGCCTGATACAAATATTCTGTAACAAAGGCACCCCACCCCCGCCATTCATGACTCAAATGTGACCAAGATTTAGTATTTCTTACTTGTATCACATCCCAAGTACGTTCCCAAATGGCAGCCTGTTCTGTTTGTTTCATGTGGGGCAGGGGTTCAGGATCTTCTCCCTCTGTTCTGTTTGTTTCATGTGGGGCAGGGGTTCAGGATCTTCTCCCTCTGTTCTGTTTGTTTCATGTGGGGCAGGGGTTCAGGATCTTCTCCCTCTGTTCTGTTTGTTTCATGTGGGGCAGGGGTTCAGGATCTTCTCCCTCTGTTCTGTTTGTTTCATGTGGGGCAGGGGTTCAGGATCTTCTCCCTCTGTTCTGTTTGTTTCATGTGGGGCAGGGGTTCAGGATCTTCTCCCTCTGTTCTGTTTGTTTCATGTGGGGCAGGGGTTCAGGATCTTCTCCCTCTGTTCTGTTTGTTTCATGTGGGGCAGGGGTTCAGGATCTTCTCCCTCTGTGGCTCTGTTGTGCAGCTCCTGGGCCCTGTGGACACCAGCTCAGCATGAGTGGAGAGTGGGGGCAAAATCACAGGGTGGCAAGTGGAGTGGAGCTTCCCACATCACTTCTGCTAACATGTCAACAGTCCCAAGCACTACCTGAACCATGGAGAAGTCGGCAAGTGAAGCCTAGCCATATGGCCGGTGGGAAGAGGGTATGGGATAGTTGAGTCTCTGCTGTCTGCTCCCTCAGCTGAGCCTGAGACAGACTTTGTGTTATACTTCTCTGACTCCCCACCCCCACCCCAGAGGCTATAAAGGTCTCCAACACGGGTAGTTGAATAACATCTGCCTTTAGTCCCGATCCTGTCTCCAGACGAGCGGATACATGAATATTAGCCAGACGAGGCATTGTGTAGACATGGTTTATGAACCTTGGACCCCCTTATTGCAAGACCAGACTATGAGGAAAGCAGATGTAGCCGGGAAGGTCATCTTTTGCAAAACTGAAAAAGGATTCTTGTCTTTTCTAATCACTAAAATGGCATGTGCTTATTGTAAAAAAGTGGACAAAAATGCTGAAAATCTTGTAAGAGAGAAGATTAAAATCACCCACAATTCCTTTTCCCAAGAGATTCTAAACATCTTCTTGCTTATAATATTCAGATACTATTTACACACATACCATTTCAATTAATTTGTGTCTGCAGAGCAGATCACCTTGTCTAGAATACATTTTGGAATGGACTTTTTCACTTGACAAGACATGCTATGAATGTCTAAACATGTAAATAAGGATATTTTTGGCTACATATTTGATAGCATGTACATATGTGACGATAGTTGTAAAATAATGCATCATTTAGCTCAGCTGAACAAGTATAGACTTGGATGTCAATGAGACCCAAGATTATGTATTTGTTAGTTTGTCCCCATAGTAAGATAGGCATTTTTGCTCATGATAGAAGTTTAACAGTATTCTGGTTAAGCAAGTCATCACATAGTCAGTGTCCTCAGAGTCCAGTATGCTGACAAGTCACATATGGACCCAGGTAAAATGCAGATTATTATTCAAAAGGTATAGGCTGACCTGGAGTTTTGCCAAGCATCTAAGAGCTACTTGTGCTTCTGTTTACTGAGTAGTGAGTATCTAAACTAGTAATTCTCACCTGGAGAGACACAAAGACTTAGAGGAAATTCAACTGGAGACATTTTTGGTCTTCCTCCCTCCCTCCCTCCTTCTTCCTTCTTCCTTCCTTCCTTCCTTCCTTCCTTCCTTCCTTCCTTCCTTCCTTCCTTCCTTCCTTCCCTCCTTCCTTTCTCTGTCTCTCTGTGTCTCTATCTCTGTGTCATAGTGAATAGACCATATATATGTATATCTACACATACACACATGTAGTATGAATATGTGCATGTGCATGTATGTGTTAATGTGTGTTTAGAGTTTGCAGCTGAGCCTGTTTCTTTTGAGTGCTCCAATGAAGAGAGGGGACATCCTGTTCCCTCTAAGAAACCGACCTCCATGAAGCAGCGCGACCCTGTTCTTCTGGACTCCAGGTGTTTGTGTTTATTCCGGAGCTCCAGTCTCTGCAGTTGCATAATCCAGGAGCGCTTACAAATATGACATTAGCTAGAGAATATTTGCTAAGCAAATGAACAATATAAATAAGATTAGAGGGAATCACAAGGGAGTTCAAATATGAAAATTCTTGAGGACAAATTGTTTGCAAGCATCTTAAAATCATTCATTAATACTTAGTAATTTAAAATTAATTGCAAATGTGTTCTACTGGGCCATGCTGTTTATATGTCCACATACACAAATGTGTATGTGTTCATGTGAAATAAACAAACAGCTGCTTTTTAAACTGCTCTGTAATCCATGGGTTTTATTTATATCACAGATCCTCTCTGTGTACCAGTTTGCAGACTCAAATGAAATGTATGGCAATATCATTACTACCCATATTCTGGAAATCTTACCTACTACCTGTTCGTGTCCTCAGATGCATATGCAATTTTCAGAAGGGTGATGGCCATGCACCTGGGAGTCACCCTGAGCCATTGCTTCTCCCTGCCTCTGCTACCCACACGCAGACTCCTGGGGTGTCCGTTTCCCACTACCCTGACCCCAGTCACCCCACCTTGGCCTTTGCAGTTTGCAGCTGCAGTCTCCTGCAGAGTTGGCGTTCTTCAGCCACATTCCTGCTTTGGCCTGGACTCCTTCCAATGGCTCTCTGCCTGGCCAAGGTTCAGCTACTCAACCCTGGCCACTGGTGCTCTCAGTCACCACTGGGGCACCATTCACTCCCTCCATGCCACCTTCAGATGGGAGTACCAAAGCTGGCTCCTTGGGCCTCAGGAAGTTTAATTGCAACACCTGTTAGTTTACATCCTCAGCGGCTGTTCTTCAAGCAGCGGACCCATGCCACCAGGGCAGCAGCAGTTGGGAGGATTCCTGTTACTTGGACTTCTAATCCAGGAGCACTGAGAAAGGAAACTCAAGTGCACACGGACAGTATTTTGCAGGCTTAAAGTTTATGTTTTCCATGAGAACCAGTGTCATTCATTTTCAAAGTTGAAAAATGATACAGTTGCTTGAGAGACTACTGCTTAATATGAACAACTCCAAAAGACACAACACACAAAACACCACACTGTCTCTATGCATTTCTCTTCATAATTCCATGTTTACTCCAGTCTCACAAATGTTTAGTTGATGGTATTTCAGGAGAGCTATGGAGAATCCATTGGCTGGCTAGTAGAATACCGGCAGTGGAAGTTTTGGAGTGGCGCTTTCTCCTCTCAGGGGTGAGGTCAAGGGCTCCTCTGAGTACCCAGGGAGGTGGAGAAGGGTCACCCCGACTGCTCCTTGATCTTCACTTGTGTGCAGTGGGATTTTTGTCTTTGCAGCTCTTTGTGGCTATGATTTTGTCTTCTAAGCTTGAGTTTACCCGGTGCCTCCATGTGTCTTCCAATCTGGCTCCCAGTCTTGGTCTCTGCTGAAGCTTGGGTGCACGCCAGTCCAGACCACACCTATCAATCATCTGTCTCTATCCAAAGCTCAGTGTTGGAAGGCAAATTTGCTCTTTCCTTTTCTCCCCAAGCCAGATGTGTCCACTGTTGCCCACTTGGGAAAATATTTTGCTATTCCTGTAGGAAACTTGCTAGATAATTTTCAAAGAACTGAGACGCCTTAAAAGCGTATTTACTCCCTAGAACTGAGGTGAAAGCGTCTCCCTTCTTCTTATTGCTTTAAACAATGCATATATGGGTGCATGCACGTACACATGATTTTGTATGTGTTTGTGTGTAGGTGCACTGTGCTATGGAGGCCAGTGGACAAACTGTGGCAGTCAGTTCTCTCCTTCACCATGTGAGTCCTGGGGAACAAACTCTGGTCATCAGGGTTGGTGGCTAGTGCCATCACTAACTAAACCATCCTGCCAGTCCCCTCTTACTGCTTTTGATAAGGGAGAGTCTAGCAGACCTGAACTACTGCAGAAATGTGTGGTGGCTTCAGGAAAAGGAAAAAGAGAGGAATGAGCTTGTCTTTGAGCTGAGATGGGGACAGGAAGGGATTCCAGAGCCAGATGCCATTTTGGAATGAAGACAGTGGCCATCACTCCCGCATTCCTGGCATCCCAAGGGAGCAGGAGTTGGGCGTGGCACCCCTGCCATGTGATGCAGTATCTCCAGGCAGCATGGCTCCGTACAGATGGGCACCAAGCATACTGATGATGTCACCCAGCGCAGCTGCTGCAGTGTCTGCTTTTGGGGTTGTTCCCAGCCTGGCTTAGGCCTGGCACTGTTGCTGGCTGAGTCTGAGCACAGTCAGTTGAAGTCTTCGAGCACATTCTGTGCTTTCTGGATTTGTCCAGGACACGATTTGCTTCGCTGATCTATTTATCCTGAAATGGGGTTTACAGCTGCTGCTGTTACACATAGCTGGTTCTTCACGGTGTCTTTCCACACCAGTGTCAAAAAAGAGAATGCGGACTGGTAGCTAACACTGCATGACTGTCTTCCAGTTCAGTGATACACATTATCAGGAAACTGACCTGTCCCCGTGGAGAGCAGACTCCAGTTAGGCAATTTGGCTTTGAATCCTGGTCCCATCATCCCATAATGTATGATATTGGGCAAATGACTTAATCTCTCCTACTCTCAATTTCTTCATCTATTAAAAGGAAATAATAATAATCTTATAAGACTATTTTAGTATTGTGCTTGACCTATGTAATATTATTATTATTATAGCTTTTATTATCAATGATGATTTTACTCCACAACATTCAATAAGACAAAATGCTATCATTTCTAAGGGACACTTATTATCTTCACAGCTATCTAGTTGTAACAATGATTTCACTTTCACTGGAGTATGTGAAATAGACAAAGTTGAGATTTTGCTTATATGTAACATCTAAGTTTTAATAATTTGGCCAAGATCTCAGAGTTTTAAGGAGTGAAATTGAAATCTTGTCTCTGTCCAGATTACGTTCTGTTTTTTTTCACTGTTTCAAGCTGACTTGAACTTTCAATGGTTTGTTCAACCAATATTTGTTGGAGGTTGCCTTGGTCCTAGAGGAAGAGGAATGCAACTGGGCGTGAAGAAGAAATTGATGTCAATAGCAATGCTGCAGTAGGCAAGCTGATTTAAGGCCATTTGCCCAGGAGCTTTCTTCTTCACACATAGCACACGTGTTGCTTCTGTATGCGTTCGGAGTGCAATGTCCATGTGAAAACAACCTTGCATACCACCGCACCCTATGCAATTGAGAAACATTTTAAAATTAGTTCTTTGAGAACTCATGCAATGTGTAATGATCGTGTTCACCCTCCCTGCCAACTCCTCCCAGATCCATTCCCTTTCTCTACCCACTCAAATTTGTATCATCTTTTTTTTCTTTTTGAAATACCAATCAAGTCTAATTTGTGCTGCTCACATATTCTGGGATATATGGCCTTCCACTGGAGCGTGGCCAACTTACCAGGAGCTACATTTTAAAGGACACTGACTATCTCTCTCCCAGCAGCTAACAGTCACCAATAGATCCTCAGCTAGAGTGAGACTTTGTGTTCACCCCCTCTCTCCATGCTGGTATTGGTCTGGCTTGAGTTTGAACAGATCTGTGCAAGTTGTTATAACCACTGTGAATGTACAGCTGCCTTGTTGTATCCAGAAGACATTGTTTCCTTATATCTGGTCACCACCTTTGGCTTTTACAGTCTTTCTGTCTCCTCATCCACAATGTGCCCTGAGCCCTAGGGAATATAGATTTCCCTTTAGGGTTGAGCATTCCATAGTCTCTAATTCTCTGTACCTCGATCAGTTGTGGGTCTCTACGTTAACTGCTACCTATTTTAGATAGAAGCTTCTCAGAAGGTAGAAAGA